AAACAGTATTGGTGCTTCAGGATATTTCAGACATATGGAAACATTGGATAATAGGGATGTAACGGTATTGTAAATACCGTCATACCGCAATATTAATTTTTTTAGATATTACCGTAGTCGCATGACTCGGTAAAACTATAGGTCTTCTGAGAAAATTTGCTCAGGCGAATGAAGCGAACGAGCGGAAACTACAATTCCCATTAGCCCATGCGTGGCCATCATCCTTTGCGGTCTGTTGTCACTACAGATCCAGTAATGCGGAAATGGAGTGTGCTTCTAGTAGCGGGGATGAGAAAGAGCTGGAGATGATCGAAACCTAAAGCGGGTGTTGTCGCCGCGCGCGTACTGAATAGCGGTGTTGTCGCGCGCGTACTGTAAAGCAGAGAGGGGGGTTGAGCGCGCATACTCAAGAGCGCTGTTGTCGCACGCCTACTGAAAGGTGGGACGGAGCGTGTGTCGCGTCGCGGGGGCACTTTTGATCATTTTGGAAGGGAACTTTCTATCCAAGACTAAAAAGGGCATGTGCACTGCACAGGTTGAGCCCTATGTGTGCACGTGCCTGCAAGTTGGGGAATACGAGTAATAACAGTCTTGGGGACTGCAGAAACACAGCACACTGTTCAGATTGATGCAGATGTTGACTTGTACCGCAAAGAGACCTCTATCTCACTCATGGCTTGTCCTCTCAAGTGGGGGAAAGACAATGCACAACGTTACCCACTGCTGTCAACCTGGGCCAAGTCATATCTCTCTATCCCAGAAACCTCAGTCCCAAATGAGAGGGGTTTTTTCTGTTGCAGAGGACATTGTAAATACCCAGAGATACCAGCTTTTACCAGATTATAGTTATAAGATAATTTTCCTTAAAGCCCATCACTATCTAAGTGAGTGAGTGATTAAATGTTGAATGTGGTGAGTTTTCAACAATACTAAATTGAAACTTTATTTTTTTACATGGTTTAATATTTTTTTGTTATTAAAATTGAAGTTCCTGTTTCAAAGCTTACAGATAGATGACTAATTTGTATGTCATTGACACTTTTGGCACTTTTTTGGAGTATTTTCATAAGTTTTGTTTTTCCTGTAAATGATTCAATAAATACCGTACCGTGACATTCATACCGAGGTATACCGTTACATCCCTATTGGATAATTAAGTGGAGCAAAGCCACACCACACGCAACTTGATCTTCCATTGTTAAATGAATTTGATAAGAAGTGTGCTAAATTTTCCCGCTAGAAAGCATGTTTTTTGCAGGAATGTAAATGATATGCTGCAACAGCCCCTTTAAATACAAGATCAATGTAGTGAAATTTGACGCTCTCGCCGCCGGAGCTGAAGGCAGACAGCGTTGTCGCCAGGGCAGCCAGAGTGACCTTTGACGCACTCGCTGCCTTCGGTGTAAACGCACAGTAAGACCTTAAAGCAAGGGTGGCCAACCCATGTTCCTGGAGAGCCACTTTCCTGCAGATTTCAGTTGCTACCCATATCAAACACACCTGCCTGTAATTATCACATGGTGTTCAGGTCCTAATTAATCGGTTCAGGTGTGTTTGATATGGGTTGCAACTGAAATCTGCAGGAAGGTACTCTCCAGCATCATAAATGCAATGTTTAGTGGCTCAATGTATTACAGCATTGTTTTTAAAAGACTAAACACTTTACTGATTTGGTATACAATCGAGCAAATGTGGTCAGAACACAAACAAGTCGCAAATAATGAAGTATTAAGCATTTATCCCAAACAAAAGGCCTGTCTCATTTATCCCCCAGTCGGTGTAATGAAGCACAAACAAAATGGCAACAGTTGGCCACGCCTACTCGTAGCTTCCTTTGCACTCTTCAGAAACCTTCGGTTGACGTCACAGATACTACGTCCATATCTTTTACAGTCTATGCTAATAACTAATCTGCTTGTGGTTATGTTGTCTGGCCAAACAGATAATAAGAGAAAACCAAATAAAGTGTGTGTGAATAATTATCATATGGAGATGACAGTATTGTTTTAGAGTTAGTGCCGGACGTCTCATTTGGAAATAAATGTAGTGGTAATGCTTGGGTAAGTCGGACAGCATCTTGTCAAAGAGCCAATTTCATCACTCAAAACACGGTAATGAGAATCCCACTCGCTTTTGAAAGGAAATAAAAAGGACAAATGCATAATTAATATGGACGGCAGGGAGAATTAAACAAGCTGCAGCTAGAGAGTGCCAGGATACATCCGTTTAAAAAAGACAATGCAATGCAAATGCAGAGAGACCTATACCTTCTGGCAAAGAACAAAGAAAGATAAAGGTTGCTTATGAGAAATTACTGAAACTGCTCATTGCAAGAACAAACGCTGTAAGCAAAAACAATTAACGATGAAAGGATACAGTGGTGTCCGAATGCCTGGGACTACATGAAAATAAGGGTTTAAAAAGGGATGAGCAAATATAATGAACAATTTAGAAAAAATATATAAATAAATAAACAAATAAGGGCGGCTCAGTGGTTAGCACTGTCGCCTCACAGCAAGAAGGTCACTAGTTTGAGCCTCGGCTGGATCAGTTTGCATGTTCTCCCCCATGTTCTCGTGGGTTTCCTGCGGGTGCTCCGGTTTCCCCCACAGTCCAAAGGCATGCACCAAAGGTGAATTGAATTTGAACTGGTTTGGCCGTAGTGTATGAGTCTGTGTGTGTGTGTAAAAAAGTGTGTATAGTGGTTTTGCCAGTACTGTGTTGCAGCACTGTTAATAATAATAATAATAATAATTTTTATTTATATAGCGCCTTTCCAGAGCTCAAGGACACTTTACAAGGAATGCAACAAAAAGATAAACAAACATACATGAGGTCAAATATAACAAACTGGAATTACACAAACAAGACCTAAGAGACATATGAGCAGAGTGGAGGTGGATCAGATTAAGTGGTCAGTTTGGCAGATCAGATGCAAAGCATTCAGAAAATAAGTGAGTCTTAAGTAAGAATTTGAATTCAGAGATATTATTAGCAGAGCGGAGTGAGCGTGGTAGAGAGTTCCAGAGTTTGGGTGCAATAACACTAAATGATCTACCCCCCATTGAAGAGAGGCGGTACAGAGGGACAGCAAGAAGGCCAGAGTCAGCAGACTGTAAAGAGCGAGTTGGGGTGTCGGGGACAAGCATGTTGCAGAGATAGGAGGGTGCTAGGTTATTTAAGGATCTAAATGCAAGGAGGAGAATTTTGAATTTAACGCGGTATGCAACCGGGAGCCAATGAAGATCATACAAGATTGGGGTTATGTGAGTCGAACGTTTGGTATGAGTGAGTATTCTAGCTGAAGAGTTTTGAATATACTGTAATCTGGAGATGAGGCTGGCAGGCAGGCCAATGAAAAGAGCATTACAGTAGTCGATGCGTGAGGAGACAAATGCATGGATGACAGTCTCAGCATCCTTGCTACTGATGAAGGGACGCAGTTGTGAAATGCGACGTAAGTGAAAGAATGCAGATTTAGTGACAGATTTAATGTGAGACTGAAAAGACAGCGTGGAGTCAAAGATTACACCTAATTTTTTTACAGAAGTAGATGTTTTATTGTGCAAGCCAGCAATCTCACAGGAATAACTGGTGGAAACATTGCTGGTAAGTGCTGGGGTGCCAATAAAAATGATCTCAGTTTTGTCCATGTTAAGTTTTAGGGAATTTGAGGTGAGCCAATCACAACATTTGCGTACATTAGAATGTATCCTGTTTAAGATTTTACTAAAATAACTAAGCATTAAAAAAAATCCACTAAAATATTATTCAGTGTAATAATGCTAAAAGTTTTCATCAGGCATATTAACTACAAGAATTATCTGATGACATTTTAAACAGCTCAGGGTGGAGTCCCAAAATACTCCTTAATTGCCCTTTTATATCTTTTTTTCATTTTCTATTATATAGTTTTTTATATAGTTCTCAATGATTTAAAAGCAATGAAATTGTGTATGATCATTTACTCTTCTGTATGTTTTAATAAGTGCATATTAATAAGAACAAATGTACAGTTTCATTCTTATAATGTTTGGAAAAAAATAAAAAATAAATAAAAATTATTTCACTACGACTATTACTTCTGCTACTGATAATGCTACTAATAATAACATATATTACTATATACATGGCGACACAGTGGCGCAGTAGGTAGAGCTGTCGCCTCACAGCAAGAAGGTCGCTGATTCGAGCCTCGGCTGGGTCAGTTGGCGTTTCTGTGTGGAGTTTGCAAGTTCTCCCCGCGTTTGCATCCTCCGGGTGCTCCAGTTTCCCCCACAGTCTAAAGACATGCGGCACAGGTGAATTGGGTAGGCTAAATTGTCCATAGTGTATGAGTGTGTGTGGATGTTTCCCAGAGATGGGTTGCACACAAATAAATAAATAAAAATAAATATATAAAATAAATAAAAAATAGGTAAATACATAAACAAAAATAAATAAATCAATTTAAATAAAATAAATATATAAATAAAAATAAATACATATATTAATACAACTAATAATATATATAACTAATAATTTTTTTATACATTTAAATAAATAATTAAATAAATAATTATATAAATAAAAATAAATAAATAAATAAAAACAAAAACCCACAAGTCCAAAGACATGCACTAAAGGTGAATTGGGTTAGCTAGATTGTCCATAGTGTATGTGTGTGAATGAGTGTGTGTGGATGTTTCGCAGTGATGCGCTGCAGATGAAAGGGCATCCGCTACGTAAAACATATGCTGGATAAGTTGGCGGTTCACTCCACAGCGGCAACCCCAGAATAATAAAGGGATTAAGCCGAAAAGAAAATGAATGAATATATATAAATTAAATAAAAATAAATAAATATTTAATAACATTTAACATTTAATCTCAAATTTAAGTCATTTTATATTTCAATAAGATTGTTGTTATTGCTTAGACTAAGCACATCTTCGCTGCAAAAACAACAACAACATATTACCTAAAGAAACCTCTAATGTTTACAAACAAATATCACTCACTCCGATGTTGAAGTTTCCAGTGAAATAGTCCAGGTTAGTCTGGATGAAGCCGATGTTTGTCAATGTGAGCTGAGCGCTTCTTTCTCTGGCCCTGATCAGAGACTCCTCTTTATTTTCAACAAGGATAACCTGATCAATGACAAAAAAACAGGACATTTCATCATGCCATGCTGTGTATATCTCTTACAGCTTACTGCTTCATGTCCAAATTGCTCATTGATTAATTTCAGGTGTTCTTCTTTGAAAAGCCATTTCATCAAAAGGAAAGCAAATCTGGAGGGAAAAGGAAGCACATCTTCTGAACGTCTACCTGATACTCCACTGAACCATCAAATGCCCATTACTTTAATACTGAAGACGTACTGAGTTGATTTGCCTGTCTGAGCTGGTGAAAGTAGATTTGAAGAGAGAGATTTGTTCATTCGTTCGTTCCTTTGTTCGTTAATGCTTGAATTGTTCGTTCCTTTGTTTGTTCAGTTGTTCATTCGTTCATTTTTTTGCTCATTTGTTGCTAGTGTTTTTCATTCATTCGTTCATGTATTTGTTCATTTGTTCTTTTGTTATTCATTTGTTCATTTATTTGTTCGCTTGTTTATTCATTTGTTCATTCTGTTCCTTCCTTTGTTCTTTTGTTCGTTCTTTTATTCATTCAATAATTTGTTAATTTTTTCAATTAAATTGTTTGTTCGTTCATTCATTTAGTAGTTCTTTCATTTGTTCGTTCTTTCATTCATTCAATAATTTGTTCGATCTTTCGTTTGATTGTTTGTTCGTTCATTCATTTGGTAGTTTGTTCATTTGTTTGTTCTTTCATTAATTGGTTCCTTTGTTCATTCAATAATTGGTTAATTCTTTCATTGATCGTTTGTTCATTCATTTATTTGTTTGTTCATTCATTTAATAATTAGTTTTTTACGTTTGTTTTTTGCTTTTTTGTTTATTATTGTTCTTTAGTTTGTTCGTTCTTCCATTTATTTGTTCGTTCTTTCTTTCGTTCATTCTTTTGTTTGTTCCTTCATTCGTTTATTGCTTTGAACTTTCATTTGTTCTTTCATTTCTTTATTTTGATTAATTCTTTTGTTCGTTCATTTGTTTGTTTTTTCATTTGTTCAATAATTTGTTCATTCATTCAATAACTAGTTTGTTCTTTCTTTCTTTTTGCTCTTTTGTTCATTCACATATTTGTGATATTGGCAGAACAAACCACAATTACAAGAAAAATACAACAAAGAACAAAAAAGTTTGAACATTTCAAGACAATTTGAATACATTTCAGACTAACACTAGAACCAAATTTTAAAAAATTAGTACAGGTTTGATTGTTCGTTCATTCGTTTGCTCGTTCATTAATTTGTTTGATCATTTATTTGTTATTTGATTCATTCATTCGTTCGTTTGTTTGTTCATTTATTATTTTTTTAAAATAATAACCAGTCAATGATATTTAATGTTAAGATGTTTAATACAAAATATTTTTGGTCTAAACCTAAGCTTTTCTTGACAAACTCAATGAATTAGCAATTAGTAATAAAAAATTACCCTAGATAAACTAATGAAAATCAGATTTTTGAATTGTGGTTCATCATAATCATTAAAGAAAACGACTGAAAGTGTTACACAAAACCAGTCATAACGTGTACATTTTTCACAAAGCATCACATGAAAGCTGAATAAACCAGATTTGCATTGTATGCATATGTATATGGTCTGCAATGATAGGATAATATTATGCCAATTCTTTGTTGTCAAATCTGAGGTCAGAAAAAAAACGAACTACTGAGAAAACTGTTTAAATCCGTCTAAATAAAGCTTGTGCATAGCTAAGTTTTGATATACAGCAGAAAATGTACAAATAATTTTAGAAAAAAAATCATCTTTACTAAACATCCTCATGATTTTTGACATAAAAGAAAAACCTATATCTTCCCCATTCAACATAAGACATAAGTTGTGTGATTAGTAATACATATCATATGCAGTTTTAAATTTTAAGGCCAAAATTGTGTGACAGTTATCACACCTCTGATTAAAACATTGTCTAATTACAGTACAATAAAACAGTTCAGTGCAATAAAAGATGCTTAACAGTCATTTAGTAATGCATGACGGTGGTTCCTCAAGTCTTTGAGAGAAAGAAAGTGTGGCATTTTTCCAGTGTCTACAAATGAGGTCAGCAGCGATGAAGACAGATTTAGTTTCTTTTCTTTGACTGCGTTAACTCAAACCTCGCTACACTTGAACAAATCAGAAAGCCTTACCTGACATTTAGGAAGCATGTAGGCCAAAACAATCCCAACGTGCCCCTGAGAAAACAAACAGAGGGAAAAAAATTTGGAAAAACAGCTCATTGGATCAAAGCGTGCTCACAAAAAAACCCCTGTGAATATTGACCCGCTGCCCGCGAGCAGTAACATCAGGGCTTATATGTATGCACAGAATAACAAGAGCTCGTCCCCAGATTATACGAGGAGAGCAGATGCTTTACTGACACGCATGCCGAGTCTCTGAAGAAAACAGAAAAAGAGTCCAGGGCTTTTCGGAAATGTCATCTGACGTACCCCTCCGCTGCAGAAATCCACCACTGTGTGTCCCGGCTGGGCCTGATTCAACACCATCGCCAGCAGGTTGTCGAGCTGTTGTTGTTTGCGCAGCGCACGGCTGTCTGACATCTTAC